TGCTGGCAGGGAGGGAGAAGCGAGGTCAAGAGCCAACGAGCAGGAGCAGCAGTATTTGCTGAACAGTGTTTGCTCACCAAGGGAGTGCTAGGCCTCTGTTCAAAAAAGCAGCACGCAGAAGACAAGCATCAGCAAAATGGGTGGCTACAAAACATTAGAGCCCAAAAAGTACCCTGGCTGCAAACTTGTGCTGCTGCTACCACTACCCCCCTCTTCCTGCCCTCCCTCTTGAAATCAGTGATTCTGCTGCCTGGTGGGAGGAGGCTTAAGAACTCTCAAGAAGCCTGCAGTGGGTCAGATATTTTGTTTGTTATCTATTGCAGAACTGCAAGTGAACAAGACTTTCTCCTAAGAGTCAGCCCTCACATAACAAGCACTCCAGCTTGATACCATACCTAGAGAAAGCTGGAAAAAGCAATTAACTGCCTTTCTTACATGCAGAATCTCTTTGCAAAAGAATAAAAGCTTGCTATACACAGTATTAATTTGGTCTGGCAAACCAGTAGATTGAGTCTATCATGTGTGCCATCTCTGTTCTCTCTCCCTCCTGCCTGTAATCTCACGCAGTACACCCAGGTATTGGTGTGAATGTCAGGTGGTTAAATATCCCTTTGATACTCTTCTACAGGTGGATCTGACCTATAATTCATTGGCAGTGATTAGTTAAGTGACAGAGACAACCACATAGCAGAAGGCTTATCTCAGGTACGAGTCAGACCTGAAGAACAGTTATAAAGCCTGGGAGCTGGCCTGATCTTCCAGCTATACCCGTTATCACCACTGGTTGTCTTGCCTATATTCTCATTGTCACAGCTACAGCAAAGCACTGACTCACTATATAGGGTCATCCAAAGTCAATTAACTTCTCACCTCAGTTTCCTATTCATAAAAAACTGGTGAAAACATTCAGATACCTTGATAAAAAGATTATTAATATTAATATTCAACTTCAGTATCTGTAACCACCATCAGTATATAACCACTGTATATTTCAGATGACCTGAATACACCCTGCATAGGCCTGTTTGTTTTATTTTGGTTTGTTTTTTAAATGGGATGCCTGGTGTATTTAAAAAATGGTTTGTATACTTATTTTCATATCACAAAACAATATGAAATTTGTAATATTAAATGGGAACACCCACTCATGTACCTAGCTTGCATGTACAACAACAGAAACACCTCAGTCCATGCACACATCATTGAAAAACTTTAAAAAATCTGTACATCATCCCCAAAGCCTCCAAAATTCTGATTTTCCTGTGTATAGAAAATGATACATACATTTAAAGGAAAAAATTTCTAACACTTGCAGAGGACCAAATGGTACCTTTCAGGAACATCTATCACTAAATGTTTGAGTAACCTGAACCATTCTTCACACCTCTCCGGTCTTACTTGCATTAGACTAATTAATCCAGTATTTTATCCAGTGCACCCCACTCACTGGAGAGTTCAGTGAGAAAAAGGTCTCATGGTGAAGATATTTGTTAGGCTAGCTTCTCAAAGAAATACTGCTCATTCTTCGTAGTTCATCTCTATTTGTATTTCAGTGGTAAGAACCACTGTCACAGGGAAGACGGCTGTCAGGATTCAGTTTAGTCTACTTAGTCTTTTACAAGGCCAAAATTAGCTTCACCTTGATTAACTCAGTTTCTTCACAGACTACCTAATGGATCTATCCCAGTTTACTCAGCTTACTTAAGTGATCTGAAGATGTTAATTTCTTGTCTTAAATAAGCAGAAGACTGATTCGTTTGAATTTTTAAAGACCATTGCATTTCTTATGCCCCATCCATATGAAGTGTGGGACTTTTTTGACAACAGTGCCAAAAGCCTCCTACAGCTAAGTACCTTCAGCATTTTTCATACAAAACCAAGGAAGGACTGAGATTGCTCAGTGCTAGGCAGAATCTATCCTGCTTAATAACAAGGAAGCAAAAGACAACCATAAATGAATCTGAGGCTGATGACTTAGAAGGAATGCTATGCCACAATAAGCCTAGCTCATTATCCAGCGCCCAATGCAAAGTGTACTAAAGTGCTGGAAAAATTCCCTGCCTTGTGTTTAACAGGACTTGGAGCAGTAGCCCTTTATGGGGAAAAGGGCCTTTAAAATGTTATTTCCTACAATAATCCCACCAAATTTCCTTGGACGTAAACAAAGCAACAGATCTTCTAAAGGACAAAGAATGCACAAAAGATGACCAGAAAACATAATGTGTGGCCAGAGAACACCTGTAACCTACTATCAGGTTTAAGTATCATCTTGTACTATCATTCAGACATGTTTTTTTTTTTTCCTTTGATGTTTGTCACTGACTATCCTTGCTGCCAGTATGTGACTTTTCTGAGTTATCTGTGAGCTGAACTTAGTTTAGAAGTTGGAGCTTTTTGTCTTTGAAAAATAAAACTAAGTTTTACTGTTAAGCAATTCATTCCAGGTAAAGTTTCCCAAATGATCACAGCAGATATGCCCCTCGATGAGACCCTTGCTGCGTTAGAATAGCACAGCCAAAAATGGCAATATGAAGTGAAAAGTAAACCCAGACAGACTCAGAGGTGTGTCCAAGGACCACAGTAGCAAGTTAAGGAAAAGCTGAATTCTGACACTGGTCTGATACTGATGATATGGCAAGAACATCCATTCTTTCTCAGATTAAATACAAATTACTTTTCACATACAAAAGAGAAATACTTATCTAGCAATGAATGAACAAACTGAGCACTGTATAAAACCTGAAAGCCTTAAATCATCTTGGAGACAAAAAGGAACTGGAGAGAGATGGGTTAAAATTCAGAAACAGGTTTTACAGACCTTATTCCAAAAATCAGTGTCTGGTTAGGAGAGGATTTTTGAAGTTTTCTATCTTTCTGCACGTACACTCATTTCCTGCTTTAATCTGTCTGCAAAAGCTAAGCATTTAGAGAAGCCTTAGCAGCAGCATTCAGAGTCTCAGAGAACTCTAATGTCAATAAGTATTTGCTAAAGGGTCTGATGAAAAAAAATATGTGAACAGATAAGAGATTTGGAAATCACAATTTTAAATTTGGTACTATTTCTGGCAGGCAAATCCACACTGATCTGCGTCTTGGGGAAAGTTACTCTAATCTTCATGGCAACAGGGACATAATGAGTTTTAGGGAAGAAGTGGAGGGGACAGCTAAAGCTGTAAAAATGTTGAACACGTGGCTTTACAGCCTGTCACGCATGTCCTTAGTTCTGCTCTTGTTCTTCCCCCAACACTCCACAACTCCCAGAAAATAGAATGGGATGCAAAACAGAAGAACTAACTCCCCATAATAGTGGCAATGCAGCTTTCCAGCCCCAGACTACCTAAAGTACAGGAGGAATCCAGCTCAGTGCAACAGCAGCTACGTAACCTGAAATAGCTCAGCAGAGTACATGAGCCTAGGGAAAGACTAGGTCACTATTGCTCCCACGTTAGCATGTCAACCCTAAAATAACTCAGAAATGGTTAGTAAGAGAGGGGCTGTCCTTCTGGTTTCTGTGTCCCAGTGAAGAATCAGCAGGTCCCATGTCAAAACCAGCTCCCTTGAGGTGGAGAGCTCTTGATTGGCCCTTAGCTAATGCGGATGAAATGCTTCAGAGAAATTATAAATGACAGCTTTGAGAACAGATTTGTTTCAGGCTTATTTTAAATCAATGTTTTCCTACTTTGTGCCTTTTTCATGGGGGGAGGGCAGGGAGGGGACAACTGCATTTCCAATTTAGTAATCAAGAAATTAACTCATAGGTTTACCAGAATTACTTTGTTCTCATTTTAAGCTTGTCTAGGGTTTTAAGTGGATTCATACAGACAGAATAGGGGCAGGCGTATCACTGCAGTGCTGTAGACAAATACCACAGAACATTGGCAAACAAAGACAAATCTTGGGATCCCAGGGATCAGAGTACATTTCCCACCAGGCTGTGGGTACAAATTTGGGGCAGGTTTTATTTGGTCTTAGACAAATTGAATAGTTCCCTTGGCATTCAGCAATCTGTTGGACAGCAGTGCCAAACTATCATAACTTTGGGAAAAATCATTTGCAGATGAAAAATACCACATAGAGGCTTGATTGTAGGGGAGAGAGAGTCTGAGGGATGGGGATTGTAGAGGGAGGGGGCAGATCATATCCAGGCCATAAAATTAAACACCTGATGCCAAAGACTAAAGACTATAACACTGATTGATACTACCTCAGTGTTCAATTTATTCATGGGATTCTGTCATCTCTTGTCTTTATTGCAATCTCTGGTCTTTTAGACTGTTTGATCAGATCCTAGTGCAGAATTATGACTTTCATGGACAAATCAGCTATGTCAAATCAGCACTGAGGGCATAAAATTATTAATATTTGCAAAGAGGGTGCTCTCAGATTTCAGAGACGACCACCTCTATTTCTTACTACAATGTTCTGGAAATTTCACTACCAAAATTCTGCTTATTTAGAGATATACTGTTCCCAATTAGCTGATACATACCTCTTCAGCATTATCTCTGACAAATCCTGGTAGTAGAACAAGTATATTGGCATTTGCTATCATAATTACAGTCCTTGGCACTGGTCTCTCTGCTCTGCCTTTCAAGAGACAGGGGTAGCATCTGCCTCCTCACCATAACACACTCTGCCTGATGGGTGATACTGGTGACACCTCACTTATTTTTCCTTCAGCAGCAACAGTCCTTTCCAACATTGGCACACTTCTTCCGAAACTTAGTCTCACTGCTCTGTACCACACTAAACCCTTATTGGCAACATCAGAGCATTAATACCTTTATCTGAAACATGTGTATTACTTTAAATTTCACAGTCCTTAAGCACTTAAGTTGCACACACCTCCGAGGGGAAGAAAAAGTACCCAGCTGACAACAGCTTAGAAAAAACATGGAATCCCCTTATAAACACCTCTGTTAAGGTTCCAAGATTATTATTAATTTTTAAATATTATAGCTGAAATCATTGCAGTAATTACAGCAGGCTGAGATATTCACCTTTGACTGTGACCTGAGCACTGCAAGATGCCTGTCCCGTATTGTTTTCAGCCAGACAGGTATAAATGCCATCATCTTCTGGTAGGGCATCTTGGACGGTCAATTTTGCAACTCCATCTTCAAAAGTGGAATGGGCATACTGAATTGGATGGTCTGCAGACAAAAAGGATGAGAATTGTCTTAATACATCAGCCACAAGTTTCAAAAGCACCTCTTGTTTTCAGTGAAATCCGGATGCCTAAGTATATAAAAGTGCAGAGCCAGATCCAGCTCTCTGGTGCACACCCACTGCTCTCTAGTGACTACAAACAGCAGCATCCCAAGCACAAAGCAGAATAATGTTGTCAGACAAATCTCTCCAACAGGTTCACTGGGTGCTACCTTAAGTAGCAGCAGCAAGAGGAGAAAGGCTTATCTTTGTATTTTGAATAGATTCTCTTTCAGGTGGATAGGAAAATAAATGTCTTGTGCTTTTGCTTCAGACATTGTCTCCACCTTTTAATTCACCTGACACTGGGTATTGGTGTCATTGTCTAGATGTGCGAAACCTGTGGAGCACTTGAAGTCCTCCATCAAGTACTTTGTATTGGAATACACTCCAAGAGAGACAGGAAAATCTACAATGGAGCCAAGAGGCTGGTTTACACAAGCAGTCAATCTACACTACAGTACATATAGTCTGATAACAGACGGGTACAGTCTGATCTGTGGTGACACAACTATTAAAGAAGTTCATTTTAAGAAACTAGTTCCTTGAATTGGTTTGGAACATGCTTAGATGTTAGCGTAGGGTGGTTAAAGTTGCCTTGCTATTGTTTCAGGAACTGTCATCAATCTCAGCCTTACTTTCTGAAATGCTTCTGCAATCTGTTTTCCCAATATTAAATAGTTTCCACTACTGACTCATCACTGGTTGCCTTCCCAGCGTATTCGATGCTTAAGAGGGCCTGATATCTGTGCATAAACATCACATTGGAAAAATAAATTAGGGTCATCTAAGAGAAGAGAGTGAAACTGCAGAGAAATCGTGCAGGACTGAAACGAAGACATCTGTCACTTGGGAAATCGTGATCAAAAGGAAAGATCAAATTTGATTTCATTCCCAAAATAATCTTAAAAGATTAGGACAAAAGCTCTGGGGTTTCTAAGAAACAGGTCTGTACCATGAGCAGGATAAATTAAATGATGGGTCAGATTTTTCTCTCATCTCCGATTTTCAACACTAGCAAACTCAGAAGGCAGTCGTTATCTATGCACTATCTACCTGCATATGAAGTTTCATTCTAAAATATAAACATATGCCCAAATCAGCATTATCTAATACTTACATATATTATAAAATGTGGTAGATGATCTCGTTCTTTTACTTATAAGTCATCTCTTTGTTAAGTTAGCAAATTTTCTATTGCATGAAAAACTGGGGTGAACATTTAATCACAGAAGATTTAAGCACAGAAGATGTCAATTTTAGAATAAAATCTCTCCACCTTCTTCACAGGTCACGTATTCTTATTACTGGTTTCTTTGATCTCCCTTTCACTCAGTTAGACTATTGTAACTATTATGTCTATTTGCATATTTTTTTGCATGTGGGAACAACATTACATTCAAATATGTACATGTAGAGCTAAAGCCCAAGCAGACAAAGCTTTCTGTAAGAGGACATGGGGCACTGGACTGCCTTCCTGATCTGACTGTAGAATATCTAACCTGACAGGGAAGCTGGCTGGATTCTGACATTGAAACTATTAATGGTACCTAAAGATGCTATGATGATAATCATATCAGAAATACACTCAAAAAGCTGCATCATCAAAACCAGAACAATGACTTTTTATTTCTGTTGTAAATAAACAAATTAATAGGGTAAGTGTTCTATGTGAAAAAAAAAAAAAAAAAAAAAATTCACTGTGTCTTCAAATTTTGTCAGGGCATCCTCATTTTCACTCCAGCTCCAAACAAAACTGTGATTATTTTTTAGCACTATTCAAAGAATATTCACTTACAGAACAGCCTTTTCATCAGACCCCAGAAAACAAATGCAAGAATATCAGACCTGAGGAATAACCTCCACAAGATTCCAAGTTATGTCCATTGTACTTATATTTTGATCTAATAAAAACAACTCTCCCAATAGTGAAATGTTCCCTTCTCCAGAGACAGATCTCCATGACAGCTTGGCAGCAGGAACAATAACAGAAAATACCTTTCTGCTGGCACTGTATTCCAGAAGAAAGGAAATTTTCCCCTGGGCCATTTATTAAAAGCTTTCTGGACATATCAGAAAGCTATCCTAAAACCAAACACTACTCAGAGAATTGTTATGCTAAAGTCATGGTCATAGTGTTTTTAAATTCAGCAGAAAGAGGTTCAATTCGACTCAGGGGAAAAAAATCTACATGGAAAGCAATATGAAAAGGAAGATATTTAAAATACAGTCATAGAGGCCTTATTCCTGCAATTTAAAAAGAAGTTACCAATCAAGTATTTAAAGAAGCTAAAGTAAACTGGAGTTACATACTGAAGTATTGTCACAGAAAGCATGTGTAAAAAGTTATTCATAAGGCTTTGGTGAAGCCAGAACTAAACCACAAAAAGTTTACTTTCAGGCAGTTTGCCAGTAAATCAGTGAAAATTTTGAAAGAAACTTAAAATAAAGGGCAGAGTGAGAGCAACAGGAGAAAAGAACTGTCTTGGAAAAGTTGGAAAAAAGCTTTAAATCATTAAAATAGAGAAAAAGTAGAAGAAAGAAACTGAAGATTGTAGACCTGCAGAGAAGAGTAAAAGCTGGAATAATATCCATAGTTCAGTCAGGCAGCTCTTATTTGTGCAGTCTTTATGAATATGGAAAACTACTCATCCTCGCAGAGGCTAAGAAGTATTTATAGACAATACACAGTATATATAATCTATTTTTTGTCTTTGTTGACCTGAAAGAGAAGTCAATCTATACAACGGCATGAAAAATGTTCTAAATTCATATGTAGTCACAGCTGGTAAAAATGTTCAGTATCTAAAGTAGTACTTGTATATAACATTGTACAAGAAGTTATTGCAAGTGTTTGAGTTCTCAGGTGGTGCGGATTCCTTGGAGATCATGGGAAGGCAGACCAGACAGCATACAGGCTGTTCAGTACCAAGGCTGGTCAGCCTAGGAGCGAGACTGTTCTGCTGTTTTCCTATTTGTTATTTGTTTCTCAAATCAGCCTTCTATTCACGTTTCTTATGATTTGATAACTTGGTCTTCACCTTTATTATTTCACTGAGATATACATACATTTCTCTCTTTTCCTTTCAAAAATTAATTCTAGTTTGTTATCATTGTCATGGTTGGAAGACAATTTGCATTTGATATTTTCTTGTGACCCTCATACATCCCATCTTATATGATTTTTATTTCTATGGAGTTCTGTAAAAGTCCTGTATTTTGAACAGTAGTGGAATTGCTGTCAGCAGATTGCTTTTTTCTCTGCCACAGTCTGTTGGTTGTGAATGTAAAAAGCTTTATATTCCAAGCATGGACAGCAGATTGTAACACACTTTTTTTTTAAAAAAACAAAATTTGTCTTCCTGCCTCAAATTACATACTGTGAGTATGCTGGTTTCTTCATATGACCAGCTGATGAAAGACTACTTCATGTCATTTTGCCAAAAGCATTGTTGTGTCTGCTTGGAGTAATATTTCAGGACCAGAAACACAACTTTATCCTTTATTTGATAATGGATGAAGATATGAGAAGTTTCTAGTATCTAGCTAGCTGGTAGACAGGAAGGAAATGTTTGCATTCAAATAGATATCACAATAGCCACTTTGATCCTTAGGTAAAATAATGACCCCAGGAGTGTACATGGAATTACCAGTATTAAACAACTGTTTATAATCCATTCAAATTTGTATCAAAATGGTATAGAAACAGTTATGTATCACAATCACCTGCAAGACAGAAAAGCATTAAACCATAGTGGTATGTTTTAGGAGTCTGGAATGAAAGTAGTGTGTTTATGTCTTTAGAATAATATATGACATCCCTAATTTTTATGATTATGGTAGTTTCTGTACTCAGACTCATCACTGCCTTTTGACTTAAGAGAAGAGTTAATGCACTGGCTTTCACTTACAGAACCCTAAGGGTTCTGTAATGTAATGTAATGGCCAGGTTGGATGGGGCTTTGGGCAACCTGATCTAGTGGAAAGTGGGGAAGTGAGGGTGGAACTAGATGATCTTTAAGGACCCTTCCAACCCAAACCATTCTATAATTCTATTCCAACTGCCTGAAGCAAAACCCACCTGCTCTTGCCTCCTTGTGATATTGATCCAATTGCAATTAGAAGCTTGAATGAAATATAAACGTGGTTATACCTGAACACGAGCAGATTAATCTGAGATTAGTGAGAAGAAAGGTCAATGCAGAACAAACATCCTGAAAAAAGGCAAGGGGGAACAGTGTGTACTGGAGGCCTACAGAAACATGTTGTTTATTGATCTCTAGGTTGTATTTATTAGGAGACAACGGTTCTCTGGTTAGCAAAGCAGAACATGGTTACATCAACAGAGATGCTCTATCTATGCCTGATGAACTGTAACACAGAAAGTCATCTGAGACAGAAAGATGCTCTGTATGTGGAAGACAGTGGTATAACTACACAATTCAATGACTAAGGCAACCCTTTATGTGCACTGGGTACCCTTGGAACATGAAGATGAAATGACTGAGCCTATAGGTTGGAGTTCCTCCTACTGTGCTGCAAGACACAACTCTTGCATAGCAAAACAGTGATTCTGCTCATGACTGCAAAGGAGGAACTGCAGCGTAGCATTCAGACAGAGAAACAAATTGTTTCCTATAGGAGAAGGTGAGAGCCTTTACTCACATGTTTTGTGCTGTCAATAAAGCAGTGGCCTTTCTCTTCTAGACATGGAGCTACTGGGAAGGGGAACAGATCAGGCTGTGGGAACATACCAATCTCAAGGTCATGGTTCATTTGCCCTGCCACCTTTTTCAGTTATCCCATATACTGTGAATAGCTGAAGAAAAACAGATATCATCTGCAAATAAACAATTTTAAAGCAATCCTGGAGGAAACATCTTTATGGAAAAGTATGCCATTCTTTGTAATTAAATTTGCCCTAGAATAGCCCAGATGGAAGGGTGGAATTGGGCATGGGTTTCCTTCCTACTGTAAAGAGTGATATAATGCATGTATTCTGCTTAGAACTGATTATCCCTGCAGGATCATGATGCCAACTCGTTACACTCAGAGCAGAGGCTATAGGAGTGGGGGTAGCCCAGGGTTCAGTATACAGTAGCAACACTGGCTTTGCTGCAGCGGAGTGAAAAGCTGTGTTTAACAAAACCCAGGAAATCCATCTGCAAACAATCTTGTCACCAGAGTCCCCTGCTGGACATACTGGAAAACTGCAGTAAGACAGAAATGCTCAAGAAAACCACCTTTCGTGCATATTTCGTGCATATAAAGTGTTTTTCTTCAAATATTCTAGTGGATTATATTACGGTGACTTCGAGTGCTTTGTGCAGCATTGGCAGCCTCGCTGTGTGCGGATCAGAGCGGCATTCGAGGCTGGATGTAAGTGCGTGCATGCTCGGACTGCAGAGCAGGGCGTTCCTTACCATTGAGGAGCCATGTGATCTGAGGCACAGGTACGCCTCCTACACAGCACTGCAGCACAAAGTCTTGCCCTTCGCTCACAGTGCATCCTTTCAGGACACTGGAAAAGCACGGAGCAACCTCTTGAACTTTAGGCCCTTTAAAACCAAAATGAAAACAGTTCCTTTAACCCAAATTGACAAAATTATCTTTACCACTTAGTGACTTTTTCTAGGTATGCTTAGGTGACATGGTTGGGCTAACACATACACCCCATGTAAACAAGAAAAAAAAATCAAAACCATGATGAAATGTTTTATTAGGAAATAAAAATCATTTTGAGCAATGATCTGGTATAAGGCTTCTGTAGTCTACAAGGCAGGCATTGCCAGCCCTCAAGCTGTATCTTAGGTGGTGGTTTTCTGTGCCAGAATCCACCTTTTGCAGACAATCACTAGAAGTGTATGCAACATATCACCAGAGAGCTCAGTGCAAAGAACACGAAGGATAATTCTTCTCTCCTCTTGTTTATCTTCTCCCACTCCCTCTCCCAAATTTCCCCTGGCTGACAGTGAAGCAGGGTGACTTAAGGATGCAGTTTACAGACCTCTCATGAGACACAGAGAGAGTATCTTGAGTATCCTGGTTTAACCTCAGGCACAGCAAATACACAAATGTTGCATAAACATGATTATAGCTCCAGGACAAAACCCTAAACCAGGTGAAAAGATTACAACTGAGGACAGCACTTGCTAAGAGGCCAGTAAATCTTTCAACCAGACCAGTAAAACAGTGTCTTCAAGCTCAAAATAATTTGTCACTGGGAGATGTACTTGAATTTAGCAGAATGCAGTTCTCATTCCTTCACTTTTGTTCTTATTGACTTTACTGCACAGGATTGGTTTGTGCTTGCAAAACATTTCAGATATGCAGTGTCCTATAGAAATGTTAAGCATCCCCAAAAGAACTAAATGCAGAACAACAATAAAATCATTGGCAACCTGTCTTAAATACAAATATTAATAGAAAACCTCAGTGGAAAACAGACCTCCCTGTGTACAAAACATTCAATGAGATTTAGCTATACAAACATCAAACAGAAAGGGTCAGAAAGGAAACGGATGCAGAAAGTGGCTTGCCAGTTATGCCACACCACATTATTCACAGAATGAGGAATCAGAATTAACCTGCATTGAGAAGTTGTAATAGAAATCTTGTATTCACCACCCATCCAGCCTGGTTTTAAAGCGCAGATGGGCTCACAAGAGCTTACTTACTTCTGACAGTTAACAACCAGCTGGTGGAAGTCTTGCCTTTGGGGTTGAAAGCTGCACAGCTGTAAGATCCACTGTCCCCCAAGCAGGCTTTCTTTAACCATAGGCAATGAATTCCATCTTCTTCATATATTTGGACATCTTCTCCAGATTTAATAGGTTCACCCTCTTTGAACCACTCCACACCTGGTTTTGGTTTCCCTGAAACTAGACAATCAGATATTTGAAATTTTATGAACAGGTATTCCCCCTAGTGTAATTCCATTATTTGCTTCAGTATAAATTAGGTATAATATATAAACCTTAATGAGCAAGTAATACACAGAACTATCTTCAAAAAACAGTTTGATATTTCTGATCTTCCAAAATCTCTTGGCCAGTCCATCTTTTAAAATAAATATTTGGTAACTTAAAAAACCCCAAGCACTTCTATCTGAAAACTGTTTCTCTAAAAGCCACAGACAAAATGGATGTGATGAGATACTAGAGAAGAAAGAAAGAAAGAAAGATCTCCCTATTCCTTCCTATCCTGCTAAATTAGTTTCTCTGAGCACTGCAAAGGATTGAGTACTTTGCAATCCATGGTACCTACCACTGAGGTTGTTTATTTGGAGACTGTTAAGCCTGGAGAAGGCTCAGGCTGGGGCATCTGATCAATGTATATAAATATCTGAAGGGAGGGTGTAAAGAAGATGGAGCCAGGCTCTTTTCAGTGGTGCCCAGTGATAGGACCAGAGACAGTCAGCATAAACTGTGAACACAGGAGGCTCTGCCTGAACATAAACACTTTTTTACTTTGAGGACTGCTAAGCGCTGGCACAGGTTGCACAGGCAGAAGTTGTGGAGTCTCCCTCCCTGAAGATATTCAAAAGCCACCTCAACATAGTCCTGGACAATCTGACATGGCCAGAGCAGGGGTGTTAAACCAGATGACCTCCAGAGGTCTCTTTTAACCTCAACCATTCTGTGATTCTGGGTATTTTTTCCCAGACTAGGGTCCAAGTATAGGCAAAGCAGGCAGCTGCCTAGGACAGTCAACTTTCAGGAAGCAGAAACGAAACAGCTGTGGCTTCACTGCCTGCTTTGCCTCTGTCAGAGCTCTACAAATCAGACTTAGCTCCTAGTAGTGCTGAGGGTGGTCTGGGCTTCATGGGGCAGTTTCTATGATGAGGAAAGAGGAGAGGTTAGGGGAGAATACCAGAAAAGGTCACCCATCCCATCCTTCACTTATTTTCAGCAAACAGGCCCTTCTGGGGCTTCCACCTTGCTGATGTATATTCCCAACTCTACCCATTTCATTATAGCAACAGTGCTCAGCCCCAGAGGAAGGTACAGACAGGAGAAGATGGCAGGAATATCTGCAACAAAGACATATGATATACTGCAGAAAATCCTTCTGAATAGAGAAAATACAAGGATAGGTGAGTGACATCAAGGAGAGGAACCCTTAGCTAGAAGCAGGACCCCACCCAATATGTGACTAGAAATATGAAAACAAGGAATTCCTTCTCTTTAAACAAAAAAAAAAAAAAAAAAAACATAAATCCATACTCCAAATTCTCCAAATACATAAAAAATTTGGAAAGTGGAAGGTTACCATTACACTAACAAATGGGACAAAAAATGGAATACCTATTACATACATCAGAAACCAGGAAATAGCCTTTTTCAGTGAATTTTCCTAATTAGAAACTAGGAGTTAGTATTCAGAAAAGATTCTCTTTCCTGCCCAGCAGAGAAAGAGCACATTGGAATCCACAGACAATTAGTGAAGAACAGTGGAGGTGGGAGAACCTCCCAAAGCTGAGGGAATACAAATAAATTAAGCCCTGAAGTGCCAAAGAACCTGGGTGCTTTGTATAACAGTACAGACCCAGAAGCATGCTGAGCTGACAGCCTGGCAGGTAGAAGCCTCCTTAAGGACATAATAGCATTTCCATTGTTCACTGCAACCAGGAAGCAGAGGTGCCTGTGAAAGCAACCCTAGTCACCCTTTGTGGAGAGGATTCTCAGGAAAGAGTTTCTTCAATTAAAGTGCAATAGTGATATTCCACGGGAACTTCTCTACAGACACCTTGTCCTTGCATGTAAGAGTTTGTGCTTTGAGTCCAAAGCCAAATGAAAAGGCATTCACTGACTTCAGTAAGAACTGAATGATCTTTTTGGTTTCTGTACAATAGGGGCTACATTTCCTTACCAAAAAAGATCATGAATTAATCAAAACTTGCAAAGTTTTTGAAATGTTCTTTTGGAAAGAAATCCATACTCTTAGTACTAATATACCTGAAAAATAAACCATTCAAAAAGTACCAGGATCTTTGGAGTATTTTCTCTCCTCCTTGCTCTTTGTGATATAAATTGTATCCTTTACTCACAGTGCAAGAACTATCAAGAAATGAAACAAATTACCATGGTTTGGTGTGATTTTTTTTCCTCCAGAGACATAAAAACCAATTTCTCTCTCAATTGTGGGAACACTTTAAAGTGCAAATGTTATTTTAAAATAATCACAGAAAAATGCTTCAAAACTATTTTCTACTAAAACTGTAATTAAAAAAAAAAAAGTATTCTAAATCTACTCCCTGGATTCAGCAAAATGCAGCTCTTATTACTGAGAGGTTAAAACCTGGTTAAATTCTGCAGAGCAAACACTAAACCTCACTTTTAATTCTGACTTTATAATTTCAGCTCTTAGAAAGCACTCAGATCAGCACTGGGTTGATCAAATATGAGGGGTAAAAGTAGATGCTGCAAGGGAAATGCAGTGACTGACTCGTTTCTTATCTGATCATTGTTTAGTATCAAGGGCAATATAACTAATTACAGTTCTGGCAAGTGTACCATCTATATTCTCTCATATAAGAGGCCCTAGAACTACATCCTAGAAAGAGCAATGTTCATTACATCTGGGGAAACCCCAGATCAGAGAAAGGATGGACACTATGGTATGGAACGACTTGAAAATTCCATTGAGAAGACTAACAGCATAAGATTCTGCATCTATTTCCAAAATGCTTTAGGAGGACAACTTGCAATGAAGGAGGAATTGCTTCCCTGCTTCCAGACACAGGAGGAGAACCTGACTAACCCCAGGGCTCTCATAACGTTCATCCCTTTACCTTTGCTCTTGAATTTAATCTCCTGGCCTTCTGATGCTTCCAGGCTCTGTGGACGGCTCTCAAACTGAGGGGGAATTCCCAGAGGCTCCCTCTTCTCCTCCATTAGAGCCTTCCGGACTCCGGATCTGTTTTCTGCTTCTCTACTCCTTGGACTAACTTGCCCTATCAGAGATGGGGCTTGTTGAGCTGACATCAGGGGCTGCACAGTCCTTTTCCTGTCTTCACCCTGTCTGATGAAAGTGGTCTGGGGTTCTGCCTTTGGTTCTGGTTGCAGTTTGACAGCTTGTAGTGTGATGGTGCTTGAAGTTTTCTGCAAGACCTGAGATCCCTTTTTCACTTCTTTAGGTTCTTGAGGAGACACTGCATTGGCTTCTTGGTGCTGTCCCTGCTTACTGTCTTTGGGTTCTCTGGTGATGTAAGAGGTCTCTTTCTTTGCTGACAGCCTGTCTTTGGTTTCAACCATGAGTTCAGTACTGCTGGATTTTAGCTCTTTAGCAATCCCATTGCTAGTTGCCTGTTTGAATTCTGAATTTTCAACAGCTTTAACAGCAAGTGTTGCTGGTTTTGATGGCATGCTGAAGGAAAATAAGTATACAGATATATGACACAGTATAAAGACTAATTATTATTATCAGCAATGTTATAAATGTAAAAGCCCTTAGGAAGAAGGTGAAATAATTAACATCTAGTTTTCTTCACACAGGTTAAGAACATGGATGAAAGAGATGAAGTAAAAAGCTTTATAAAACGTGATCAGTGCTCAGATATTGTCTCAACTGAGGAGTTTCTGGATACAAATCCACTGCTTAGGTTCTAAGATGTTTTGTGAGTCAGACACTAACCGCATACACTGCTTGAGATAGAGAGCAATTATGTGAGACCCTGGAATAACCATAATGTAACACTACTTCATTCTTTAATAAATTGAGGCTATGTATAAGTACAGATCAAAATGCCACATAAAATATTTTCCTAAAAGGAAGTGAAAATGTAAATTGTGCAGTGAATTTCTAGTTATGGTGTCTTGCAATTCAGGTGATTTCAAGAGGGCTGCCCAGGAAACTTCACTGAAGTCTAGGGGGTGGATAGGGGTGTTGTCAAAAGAATCTCTTGACTGGATGTAACAATACCAGCTATGGTTTTATTAGGAAAATTTATCAGAATTATGATGGATCTGTTGCTCAGTACTTTGGGGGCACAAGAATAGCTGACTGACTGGGAACTTGAATCTAAGTTTCTTTCACTGCACTTGACTGCCCTGACCAGTACACTATTACCTGTAGAATGCTGCGTCTGTGTCTCAGACTTCCACAATATTATTCCAAGGCAGAATTGGAACACATGTGAAATATGGGAAGTAATTTCTAGCCCAGCTCTGTTTTGCTATACTTAGTGCCATTGACGGGAAGATTCAGGATATTTATTGTGGTACTTCCTTCAGCCAGAGCTGAATGTACTAGAGAAATAATGACTATGAGATTTGCAGTTACAGCTGTAAGATTTTTACATTTTACAATTTTTTTTTTTTTTAAATAAATGATGGAGGAGGCAAAACTACTCTGGAGAAGCCATTACATGGGGAGTTCTGGCTGTAGAGCTGCACAGTTTCATTTACACTGAACTTATTTTAAAGTATGTTCCTAAAAACCACACAGACCTGAAAAACAGGGCAGCACTCCTGCATTTTCTACTCAACAAGAAAAAAACATTTAACAAAATTATTTTTTTAAAATGATAGTAATTTAACTTTAAAAGTCCAGATAAAGCCCTAAAATACGATTTTCTTTGTTTCTTGTTACTTTACCCATGCTTTTCTATATGTTTTCAGACAACAGCAAAGACCATGGCCATACCACGGCCATACCACATTTTTCTTATGACAGCAAAGAATAACCAGCTCAATACTGACAAGATGCATGCAGGTTTTTGACTCCAAAAAGGAAATTCGACAATTGGTAGAGAGTATAGTATCTCCTCACATAGCTTTTGTTCAAATTATGTAACTATTTGGCTACATGGGAATAGTGAGCATAAAGCCATCCAAATTTTGCTTTCCCGAACCAGACCAGAACTGTGTACTTCATAGTGTTGCCACCAGTTCCACCAACTGTTTTGTAGGAGTCTACCAGGACAGCTGAATTTGGCAGTAAGAGACAATCTCATTCCAAGTAAACATTTTCTAACTTCCAAATAAAGACTGACCCAAAAAGATTTATCACTTTGAGAGGAAGGCGCATGCAGTAAGTGTCAAAATTAGTGCACTGCAATTAAATATTCTGAGCAAGTACTCCAGTAAAAGCATACCATGGTGGCTGAGCATATGTGTCAGTCTTATCTGGACCTGAAATAAAAAAAGAAAAACCAGGTAACTTATACATACAATACTGTACCCAATTCCATATATTTGAAAGATTTTAAGCAAAGAATATACTTAAGAACCTTCACTCTTCATATTTTCAATCCGTTGAAGTCAAGATTGACTATCACCACACCTGAAATTTGATATGGACAACAGCAAGCTGCTTAGCTGAGACATTGCTGCGTCAACTAATTTCTCAAGTCCCTTGAGAACTAAAGGTTCTGTTAGCCTCAAAGGCTCCTTGTTGAGGGAGAGAAGTATGGAAGAGATTCCAGCTGGGAGGCAACTCATCAAATCTTTCAGGAACTCCACAGAGTTTAGAGAAGTGGAGAAAGACAAACTGTTAGTACTCCACCTGAGCATGCCCACAGTGAAACTGCAGCTGTCCTCTGGCTAAACACAAAACCAAATTAGTGGTAGTAAAAACTTCCATAACCTGAACCCACCTGTAAGCTTTTACCAATTTATTTGCTGTGTAGCAAGCATTAGCATATTTAACATGAATAACACAATATCACATTTCTTCACTTTGCAACACCACTAGGAAATCTGGGAACACGGCTGAGCTATATTGATTTGCCAAGGTATCTCATCAGCTGGGCTGATATAGCTGAGCATATACTTGCCCACAGTCAGTCTCTTTGTTCATATGTATGTAATCCTCCACACATTCTACCAAGTCTTGACAGTATTTGTTTCTCTTGGGGGCGGCATGAGATAATAAACAGTTGGGAGGAGAGAAATACCAATACAGATCAAGTACCAACCACATTTCTCCATTTTTCCTTAGTTAACACTACAGGATGCAGCTTGTTTTCTCCTGGTCAGATCAAAGTTACATCTATACTGTTGTCAGCTGTGAGACTAGAAGCTACAGTAGAAAGACATGTAATAATTAATTTTGCATGTCATCAACAAATACTTCATAAAATTGTTTTCAGAGTCTCTGCCTCAGGGAAAAGACAAAAGCATGTGATGGATGATACCCTGATTTCCACTGTGTTTTGCAAGGAAAAATCCACACGTAAATGCTTGGACTTGCCGCACCAGTCAGTGACGGAAAGAATCTATTTACACAAACACAAAAGTTGCAGTGAGAGAGGGAAATTACCCATTGACCTCACTTCAGTAAACTGTCAATAAACAGTAACAGAAATTCTTCACATAAAAATTAAAGCTGAAAAGAGACTGGATAAATGCAGAAGAGGAAGATGAATAATGACCGGTGGCAGACAGGACAATACCATGAAACCCTGTCAATTAAAATAACATCTTCCCTCTCCCTCTGCACTTTCCACTATGGGAACTTGGGGAAAAAAAAATAGCTCTTCGAACAATATTATCTATATACGAGATTGCATGGCTTTAAAAGAAAACATAGTAATTCTGAGACACTTTATTGTCTGCTAGCATCTTGCAGCAACTCCTATGACCTGATTTAATTGATAATGAAAGAATTAGGTATTATATATTGTGGTTAGGTAAGTGGAATCATCCGATTAGTCAAGTACATTGCAAGAGAGTGCCCTTTTTACTGACCTGTACTAATCCAAGAAAGAATGCTCGCATTATTCAGAGATGTGGTCAGCATCTGAAGCAAACATATACCACAACTGACTTTGTGACCCCAGTTCCGCATCATCTCTCAAGGCAGATGTACCCTTCACACAACAGAAAGCTCACCACTTCAGGGAGACCAAGTAAGGATCAAGTTTCATGTTTAAAAAAAGGCTTATTGAACAAAATGGCCCTTTCTATAAAGTATCAGTTGAAAAAGCAACCTGTAAAAGCTCCTTCTACAGTGGCTTCATCGGATTGGAACTTACAGATAAAAAGTACAGCTTTAAGTGGTAAAAGCTAGTTGTGGTTCTAAGGATCCCAAATGTAAATCCTCGTTATTTATATTCCTGATATCTTACAGAGTGACAGCATTGATGTGAACCTAAAAATCTTGCATCGAAAAATTCACTGCTGGGCACACATGTAACCCACTGATCTTATGACTGCAGCTGAAACCAGCAGCTGTTGATTTAATTATTTAATTGAGTCCAGTGACTGCTTACCCACTGACTGACGAAATTCCTCTTTAGTGTGGTTGCTGAAGGCTGTATGGTTTTGAAGCTGATGCAAAGGGCACCCTAAGAAATATCAAACTGCAAAATGAACTGGATACGGTAATGCATATATGGAATAGAACATCCTAAATTATTTATACAAAGACATTTATTTCCTTTAGCAGCAGTGAAATAGGCAGGGTTGGGAGTTCAGAAGCCTAAATTTAATCTCATTAAGCTGTTTTTTTCTCTCTTACAGTTTACAGTTATGGTCCTTTACTTTCCTTGTTCTAAAAATATAGGTACAATTTTATTTCCAAAAAGGGAGATGGTATAAATGTGCATCTGGTGTTGGTATTCAACAAATACCAAATTAATTACTGATTATAATGACAAGTGCAAGATTTCCATTTGCTGAAATTAAAATCTATGTTCAAAACATATGGAGGTCAAAATCACAGTGAAAGTAAAAAGTTGATTTTAAAGAAAGTTGTTACACATCATTTGGGTAGCCTTTTTCCCATTGAACCAACACATTTTCAGCTGTAGCATACTCCAAGCTATCATGGTATCACGGTATAATTTAATGAAGAGAGAGGAAGATAATGGGAAAAAGTGGATGCTTATACTGAGAACACAACAATATTTAAAAAGAATGTCTGTGGTTCACTTGTGCTCTCTCCTATAAACTCCTTGCTGTACCTTGAACGGTGAGCTCTGCGGACACAGATGCCTTCCCAGCGCTGTTTACCACTGTGCATGTGTAAATTCCTGAATCAGCAAGCTGAGCATTTTGGATTTCCAAGAACTGGATGCCTGTTTTCTCAAACATGTTGAAACGCTCATTTGGTTGCAACTGAATATCACCCTGCAAATATCACAAGACATCATAAAACAGCTAACTATTGGTAAGAGAAGGGGAGCAAGAAATTTTTTGGTAAAACATCAAGTCAAAATGCCTTTCTCCTATCTATTAGCCTTTCTTCTATGAATAATACTCAGATGGTATAAACAAAAAACTGTGTCCAAAAGTTTTATAACTCATATCTTCAGGAGTCTGTTCTTCCCCGCATTTTGCCACCCACTCATCTCAGTTTGGTTTTGACTTTTCATTATTTACTATATGCATATTCCTAGAAAAATTTATTTTCACTATATGTGGGCTCAAACCAGTTTTCTCTTCATGCTTGTTTCAGGATGAAAAAAAATCACACTTCTAAGCAGAATCTTCCAAGTCGGGGAATAGTTCTCTATCCCTCAATAGCTCCTTTATGCTGTATCACCTCAGGAACTGGAAAAAATCCTGCATAAGAGGATCTCATCAGTGCCCAGGTGGGGGTGGCAGAAGGCACTAGGAATAGGTTAAGAGAGGCACTGCTGCAACACAGCTCCTCTGCAGTGCTACACTGGAGTTAAATCGAAAGGTATGGCTTTGAGGCGGGAAGAAATGCATGTAGTTCTATGTTCTCTGTTACATAGATTAGATGATTAGAATGACAATTTTTGCCTTTAAATTGCATGAAATAATTGACCAACGCCTAATCTGTGAGCAAATCAGTGCTTCTGCTTCAGTACCAGCCATTAAAGAGGAGTCCCTTGCTACCAAGCATCACAGCTTTTCCCATCTTAAGTTTAGGAAGGGAAAGCACACAAATCTAAAATTTGTAGGGCTTTGGCCAGTAAACATTTGGGAAACTACAGTGTTTTCAGACACTGTCATTCTTGAAGTCTTTATCAAGTTACTGCTATCTGGGTGCTGTAAATCCTATTTGAATTAAAAAAGCTAGTTCACAGCAGGGGTTTAGTGGTGATACAGTAGAAGCTTCTGTTTGCAACTCAATAAGTAAGAAAAGGAGAAAGAAAACAAGAAGCAGAATAAAACATTTACACAAAAGCTTATTCATTGGTTCTGAAAAGTGACATTTTAATTGTTTATAGTTTCCATTCTGTATGAAAGGTGGTCTTGCATAGGCCTGGCGCTAGCCAGATGTGGTCCAGCAGCCATGTAAGTTCGTTTCCATGATGCTGAGGCAGAGCTGAAATACCTCCCCCTCAGCAGGACCCTGCAGTGCCATCCTGACATAGCTAGAAGCATGACACATTCATGATTACCTGTTTATCCATGCCTTATGAATAGGGATGCAAAACATGTTTCACAACAACCACCTGCCAATAAAGTTCTGATAAAGATAATAATCTTATGAAATAATATTATGAAAGCCTAAAGAAAATGAATTTAACCAAAAACAATGGATTGAGGATAAATTCAAGAGAATGAACTGGGTGTCTGCAAGCCAGCAACGGTTTGACTACTGAGCCTCTGAACAGCACACCCATGGTATTTTACAGAGTAAGATATGCAGACCTGCAAGGGTTGAAATATGCTTTTTAAGGACATAGACATGAACAGAACTCACGGAGACGCTAATAACAAGAACTTAGCATACTTCATTCATTAGATCCGAGAATGAATGCCAGATTATAGAATAGCACATATAATACAACCTCTAACAAACTGCAAAAAACAGGTGTGAAGGAGCACCAAAGCAAGGATCCAAACTGCCGGATTGCTAGTCCCTACTTGCTGTTTACCACACAGCCCTGAACAAAGAGAACTGAATGACAAATCCTCTTTGATTTGCACTGAGTTGCATGGCAGAAAAACCTGAGGGAGGCTGGTGGGCCTGGAGGCAGGCTGCTGTGGAGCAGCTGCGCTGCGGACTGCCTGGAGAGCCAGCAGGGCCTCAACAGCTGCCGCAGCTGGAGGCAGAAGCAGGCTCTAGATGGAGCCACCAGCTGAAGGAGATGTCTTAGTGAGGGCTTCCACAGCAAGAGGCTGCTTGTTTCCCAAGATGTACCCTCTCGTTCTTGTACGACAGACAAGAAGGGTAAGTTTGGAATAAAGCAGGCAATGACTTGGGAGCACTTTTCCGTTCTACAAGCAGTTTTCTGGGGGGTTTTGTGGTTTCTTTGAACACGTCCTGCTGCCCCTGAAAACCTGGATACATTAAAAGAAAATAAAACTCTGAGAAAAGCTTTTTTTTTTTTCTTCTTGTTACTATACATAAGACAACTGTCTGTTGAAGGCCTGAGGGGAGTAGGATGCCAACAGAGCAGTCGTATATTTGCTCCTCCAAATTAAAGAAATAGTAATTCTCTAAAATACTAATAGTTTCAGTAAAAATGGCCTAATCAGAGTAATATTTAATTATCACCTGAAAGTTGTCTCCTTAATAACAAAAAAAGTGGTTGGAGATCTTGTGTGTGACCAAAGGGGGCACTAGGACTTTTAAGTCTTCAAAGCTTTTTTAACAGTCTAATGAATTTTAAATATTGCTCATTTCTAAACCTTTTTTTTTTTTTTTTTTTTTTTTTTTTTTTAATTTTTTTTTTTTTTTTTATAAATGACAGATGCTCACAATTCCCAATTTTAATGCAGATCTGGAATAACAGCTCAGGTCTCCTTTATTTTATGTCAGACTGAAACAGCTGAACTGTTGTTCATCTGCCTTGGATTTTTTTTTTTTTTTTTTAATTTGCAAAAAAAAATTGTGCATGCCAAAACCCAATCATATCTGTTAATTCCTAAACAGGTAGTTCTCTTTTCAATTCATTTCCCTTTCTTTGCAAACATTATCTTCATTCTAATGTACAGGTAAAACCCAATGTGAGTGATACAGAAAAGGCAGTTTAAAACTGACACACTGACATGGAACTTAGGAAATACAGTTGTAATTTTCATAGCTGTCAGAGACTGCTTTGTAACCACAGTTAAAGTATTAAATCCCTGCAGACCTTCTCTGTAAAACAGAGATGATGATAATATTCACATTTCCCATCCTTTGTCTATTTAGATTGTCTACTTAGTAAGGTCCAAGTATGTCCCATAGTCACTATATTTATATTGGAACCTGGATCTTGTTTGGGGTTTTCAGATGATTTTTTTTGTACAAATATTTTCAACAATGAGACAGATAAGGGAGAAGTTTATATTGAGAAGGAACGCTATTATCTTTTGTAGTTTACTCAGCATAAAAATAAGGAAGAATATGTTTCTACTTGTATGTAAATTCTCACCATGATAATTTGCAATAGCAAATGCATTTCATCCTTTCAGGGCAAAAAATTTCAAAAGAGAAAGAAAACATTATTTTTTTTCAGAAATCATACCTTAAACCAAGTTACTTGAGGCTGAGGTCGTCCTGTTATTTTACATGAGAATTTGCCAGTTTGGCCTTCACGTACAACAACTCTATTGGGTTTTGTAGCAAACTTGGGTGGACTCTCTCCCCAGATGCTTGGTCTATGCTCCACAGAAGGAACAGTAAGTCTTCCCCTGGAAAAGCAATCAACATCCTGGTTTTACAGAAGAACTGGGAGCTATTGTGGTTAGAGCACACTTCAGGAAGCATTTCAGATCAGTGATCTGCCAACAAGGGTATATAATTGGAGGTAACAAAGACTGTACTTATACAATTATTTTTTTTTGGACAATGGTAGAAATGGAAATGCTGGTGATGCTCTTGACTCCTCATGCAACAGAATGGTATGATGCTACACACCCTCAACCAGCATACACGTAACTCACATAAGAAACCTTGGAGACAATTTCAGTTTCTTATAAGCAGAGCTGGACAAATCAAATAATAGGAAACACTGAATGCATTTAGTTTTTCCCATTTTCTGTTTCTTAATTACCTCCTAATAGATTATTTGTGCATACTTGTTCACTGTTCACAGTTCTTTACCATGTTCTTTGTTTTGACACTGAGTGCAATGACACAGTAATTTCTGATTTACAAATCAGCAACTTGTTTTTGCAACATTTCTGGTATGTCATGGTACAGATTTTTGGTTTGATGAAGCCTTCTGTTTGGAATCTCATTCACCGCAGTGTTTTCAAAGTAAACATGAAAAGGGCACAAAACCAAAGTACACCTATTCCAGGTGAATGTCAGTTAGCATAAATGCCCAGCTCTACTTACATGGATGGCACGTCTGGGAAATGGCATATGGAATGAAACTAGAGTGGCATCAGTGACTGCAGTCCAAAACCCTCAGTTACACAGCCGTAAAACATAAAACATCAAGCAGTATTATAGCAAGAAAAAATAAAGGTGCAACTTCAGGTCTGTTAATGTCAAAGGGAACACTCACACTCTGCTCTGAAGCCCTGGCACAGCAAAGACACATATTAGCAGATGGTAGATGGTGATTTCTTTTTTTTTTTTTTTTTTTTTTTTTAGCCTTTAACTTCAAGCAAACGGAACCATTTTCAAGGCCTTCTCTTCCAGATGGCCTTTTACCACATGCAAGTAAGATGTATCAATACCTCACCATTTCTACCAGGTGTCAGATACTAACAGAGACCACATCGCCTTAGTCCAAGGTGCTGCCAAGACATGATGGTTGCCATATAGGCAGCTCGAGGTTTCTATGTAAGAGATGATACCATAATGAAAGGATTTACATGGACAAGAGGACCAGCAAAAAGTCTTGGGAAAGAAGGGTGACCGTAATATGCTAAAAGGGAAAACATTTCATCATATAATTAAATGTCTGATAGCTTTTAATATCATCTTCCTCATGCTGGCACTAAAGATGAGTATTAAAGAAGTCTTTTAGTGACCATCTTTAGGTGGTGTTTCTATATTTATATATATTTATATATCTGTACACATACACAAATGTATTAAAATAAAATCAACTACTAGCTAGCCTGCAGCTTTACGGCTGTTTCCTAGATATACACAAACTGAAATGTGTATCTCTTTTTCTTTTCCTTCCTCCCTGTTTATGTAAGGCATAAACTTTCCATACCATAGAATTATTAGAACTGAATAGGAGTAAAACACATGAGAGTTAAAAATGAGGTCAATCACTCTAACTCAATGCAACGGATTAGGATAGTGCTTGGGAAAGTCTGAATGTATAACAAAACCTAACAGCAACCTTAACTGTCCTTTCTTGCTCTGGTTATTTAGCATGTGTGTATTCCTGTAGCACATTTGTGATACAGACATTATGATGTAAAAGCCTTTCTGATTACTCAATTTCACCTACTTCACTGTTGTAATCTCAGTTAATTTTAAAATTCAAAACATACACAAACAATATTCTTATCAATGATGAAATTAAAATCTTCAGTTTTAACTATCTGTATTCTGATCACTAACATAATCAGAAACATGTATTTTTGTCTACATCCAGGGTGACTCAGTCCCAGGGATATAAATCAGAAATAATTCTGCTTAAATTCAAGCTACTTATAAATAAATTAATTCAGCTGTTAGAAGAATTAGGCCTGGGGCTTTAAAAACAGTCGCATTCACTTAATTGTAAATGCTTACTGAAGTGCAGAAAGTACATGGCAGCAAGAAGGCTCTTCTGTGTGCCAGTTTAGATCATCCCATCAACAATTCTTGCTAACAGTTACTCCAAACCAGAACAATTCTTTCTTCTAAACTACAGTTTACCCACTGTGCTGCTTGGAAATACTTTAATATACATGAGAGAATGCTGATTTCAGTTACTTTTATTTCTTATTGGTGACTCTTAAAGCAGTGTTTGCTCTGGCTTTATAAAGAGACTGTCAGGTCATGGAAGATGTGGGGAAGGATTTCTGAGTATCAGAGAGCAGAGACAAGGGGGTGCAATTTGCAGCAGAGGAGGGATGCAATATTGGAGATACCAGCAGAATGTTCTGGTTTTATCCAGATTAATTCCTGTCAGTATGAGGGAGCAGGAGCTGTATCAAGCTACTTATGTCTTCCTGACAGCCTCAACCATTTTACTAACACAGCACCTCTCATAGTAGCTGTTCCACTTGGGATAAATGGAGATGTGGTCTTAGAGCATTTGAGTTCACAAATATCAAGTGTTTGTTTTCAGATGTTGCTGTGGCTGGCACTGCCCTGCCTCTGAGCACCCAGCCATTCTTGCTACCCTCATCCCACAAGTGTGAGAAATCGTGCCAAGTGGTTACTTTATTCCAATGCAATGCTGTGCAGAACTGAGTCATTAAGGACCAGCCTTTGCTTTCCCATTACTCTGATTCTTGTACAGGTAAGGTGCCTTGGGGATATGTTTCCAGTGAGGAATTACTGAGAACTGGACCAGAATCCAACCCTTTTTGACTGGCCCTCAAAGTGAATCAGCACTAAAGAAAAATTGCAGGAGGCACTTAAAATGGGGACAAGTGGTCACTCTTTAGAAATAATCATTTTACATGTTTTCCTACCAAAACATATTTAGGTGTCTGTTAAACAATGTCAAAGCCAGTGGACTTCTTACCCAGGGGTTTTGGCACTGGATGGCAGGCTGTATTTCTTCAAGGAGTTTCCTGTAAGCACAGGACAGAAAGACAAGAAGTCAGAAGTTTTATCAAGACCATTGGGAATTACAGATAATAAAGACTATGTAAAATGTGCATTTCTCCAGGTTTTGAACATAAAGGAGCAATGCAACACTTGCAGTATAAGGTTATGTCATCTCTAGTCCAAAGTTAGGCTCTCCAATTTCAAAAGCAAGTTTTAGCAGAGTTACTATCTAACCCCTGGCCTCAGTAGTAACAACACTTCAGATTATTCCTGAAAAAATATTCTACACAAGTGAATGAAGCACCAAGTCTAACTTCTGCAGTGCAGCACTAATTCAAATTAAGATAGCAAAAAAGGGTTTTGGACTCTGAAAGAGGTCTTACTTTACTTGGTTTGTTTTTTAGTCCTGTGCTTGCTCGGACTACTTCTTCTGTAAAATGATTCTTTTTGAAGCACGGTAACTCATCGTGCTCGCTGGTGTGAGCCGCAGGGAGATGCCTCCGAAATGGCGTAAGCTCAGCGCCATCTACTGCACACACCATCCTGGTAGCTTGGGCACATTAAAAAGGGTAAGGACCTGGGGTAGATCCAGATTGACAGTGTGAAACAAACAGCCCTGATGACTGTGAAAAAAAAATATTTGTTCTAGAGCCTTATAAGAAGTTACATTATTGTCAAATAGGACAGCTGTGCAGGATGGAAAGAGTAGACTATGTTTCAGTCACTCATTTTCTCAAGTAGCAGTCAGCCCCACATAGATATCTTTGCTGAGAACAGAAAAAATCTGCACTATGCTATATTGATCCATAGAGGAATTTTTAGAATAAAGACCATGTAATTCTTAAGCTCTGAGAAATTCAGTCATGGGGTGCTACCATGAAATTACTTTTAAACTGCATCAAAACCCAGGTCAGAAAAACTGATATAAAAACAGCTTAAAAAAATTCTTCACCTCCATGCAAGTTGTCACTCATAAAAGTTGTCACAACTTAAAACCATGGGAAAAAAAAGATTTTGTGTAATTTTTACAACAGAAGGCAATAACAATCATGCCAGATCTATGCATATTTCAGCATGCACTCAGAGGATATCTGTTAGAGATTTTGACTGAATAAACCCAAATGCTGATTGTTTCAGGACTGCTGTGGATTTTTGCTTTGCTTCAAGAATTCAACATGAAGTTGTGATCTGAGGAGCTTTGATATTCAACAGATCTCTGACATGACCAAACTGAAAAGAGAGAAGCAATACAATTGATTTCCATCCTTACTTGGCGTTGGGTCGCTACTTAAGTTTTAAATTTGGCAGTTTGGAACTATCTAATATGCAGATGTTCTCTTAAAAATTCCTGGGTTTGATCTTGGCTGTTTCCCGTGTGACATTAAGCATGCAATTACAACCAGGCGTTCAGTTTAGCAAATGGAAGCATGCATGGAGAATTCCAGGAACACATTGCCTCTGTGTGCCTATCTGATAGGCTGTGAAGCAACCAAGATCAGCACAGTTTTTACTGCCTGAGAGAAAATGCTAACTTTCCAGACCTTTGTTTCTGTCCTGAGTGGTGGCTTCCATGAAAATTACAAAGTTTATAGCAAAGTCATTAAATCTAGGTCTTCTGTTACCTAGGCATCATCACAGACATCTGAAACTTAACGCACACTTCATCTAGCTATAGACATGTAGTTCCCTGCAAAATGTCTTAAACTGTGAAATGCAATTAATGAATCTCACTCTTGCATCAGTGAAAGCATGTGTTTACAGTTGTGATTTTAACCAGACAGTTTAACAGAGCTTGTTCATTTAATTAAACTCTATAATCGCAACAACAGCATAAATATCCTCCTACCTTCCACTGTCAGTTCCACGGTCACTTGACGAACCCCACCATCATTTGCAGCCTCGCAGGTGTATTTACCACCATCACCTTCCTGTACACCTTTGATTATCAAGCTGAATATCCCCCGAATGCTGCGGTCCATGACATAATGGTCTCCCTCTGGGACAGGATGCCCATTTCTGTACCACGTGATCTGAGGTTCGGGGTAGCCTCTGACCTGGAAAGAGAGAGTAGAGAAAGAAGGCAAACATAACAGATGATGTTATTGGGAAGAAATGTTGGACATTTAGCAATGCAGTGGAAAGGTCTTGACACAGGACCTGTTAAACACATACTCTTTGCAAGCCAAATGGCAGAACAAAATGAAATGAAAAATCTCTTGGATAAGTCAAACTGTCAAAATCATAAGACTAGGCAGACAGATACCTACACAGAAAAGTTTCCCACTCGAATGGTTTACCTGCAGTAGCACAGTGGCAGTACCAATGAAAAATTCTGACACCTGGATCCCCATTGTTCAGAGACTCCAGGGCAGTGGTGCAACTATACCTCTAAGTGTGCAATATTGCAAGGTGTCTAGACCAAAAATTTCTAGCATGGTTGCCAAGGATTAGGCTTAAATTGTAAATCTGTATGGAGTCATCTACTTTTCAAATGCTCTGAGATACAGTAGCTCCTGACAATATACTGGCAAGAAATGCAGACATACTGTATTTTGTCTTGATCTTTAAAGTGGAAGATAAGGAGTTGCAAATTAAGAAATGTCATAATGGTCACTCTCATGTTATGGTGGTTAGGGGGCTATAAAGACTTAGACATATTCACACAAACACACTGTTCAACTTAAAGAGCTTTGTGGTCTACTGGTAGCCCAAAGAAGAGTTTTCAACAGAATGAACTGGGCCTGTGCTCATTAAATAGCAACCATATTAATATATCCTTGCCTGCTATGGCATTACCTTCAGATTTGCAGGCGGATTCTCAGCTGGTATAACTGAGAATGGAGTTATTGATTTCATTTGAGCTGTTGAAACCTGATGAACATCTGTGTCTGTCTTTCATTAAAAAAATGGGAAAAGAAGACATACACCAGTTTCCACCAAAGAATGAACTCCTCAGGCAAAGCTCCTCCTCTGCTTTATGAGAGATGCCACTCTTTTTGAAGGTCACTTTAGTATGTTCTAACTGTTAGCACACTTCCCCAGTCATCATGACAACTCCTGATTACAGTATTACCCCTTTCTTTCCTGTTCCCCCACTCTGATATGTTAGCTCTCCATCTTCTGATTCTTTGATCCTTTGCCTACATGTCATGAAGTAACTGAGTAGATCAAGATGAACTGGGATGAGTAACAGTTGTTTGCTCACTGGGAAAGGAGCAACGTTGCATTTTGAACTATGTTATCAAATCTTGGCAACTGAACAGGAAGTCCTTCAACCTCCAGGTGGGCAAAATATTGATGATCTGTCTTGATTTGAAGAAGGCTTGGTTGTGGCTTGCACAAATTCCTCCTAGCATTCTCCTCTCAGTTTCCAATCCACATTTCAGTTCTGCTTTCTTCTGACTGCACAGCACTCATTTTCCAAATTACAATCTTCGGCCAAGCAACCTTACCCATTCTTAGGTTCTCTTCTTTCAAAACCTTTCATTTTTAATCCAGCCCCACCTCACTCCAGCTGGGTTTCTCATCTGTTGGAGCTTAACCTACAGCTGTCAGAATTTTTTCTCTTTCTTTTAATTCCTTGGGTATCAGTCCAGACAAATTAATTTTGCCAGTCATGTGGTGATCTCTTCTTCCTGGCACTGCTTAGCGAATATATAGAGTGAGGACATTAATGTTTGCCAAGAGCATGAATATGCTGAATAAGCTGGAGAAACTTTCCATTTCTGGTACAAACTTCTCAAGTTCTTTCTGAATCTATCTTTACCTAAGTAAGAGTAATCTTCTATGAAGAATACATTGTGGGATCCTGTGCAATGGGGAGTCGATTGCTGTTTAAAAATACCCCAGCATCTTTATAAAACTCTTTGCAGCCATGCCTTTTCTTTCCTGTGCTTTCTGAAAAACAGCAGCTCCACTCAACCATGCCCCCTAACACTACTTCAGCATATTGGTTTAGTGCTTACTCAGAGAGCAGGCTCTCAGGAATATCTTTCTTAGCACATCTCATTTTCAGAAAAAGAGAGTTGTGAAGCAGCAATAAGACATTTTTTACAGTGGTGTAACTCTTGTTAGCTGATAATGTGCTCACTGGTACAGAAAGTGACTTATACCAAAGAACTGTTTCTTACTACTAACTTGTCAAGGCCCTCCTACCTATCTTTTCATTTTAGATTAAGAATCCAACAGAGATTAAGTGATTTACCCAGAGCCAGACAGTGTATTAGAATGGAGTTTCTACCTCTCATTTTTACTTCATTGGATATGAAGATTTCCTTGAATTTGAAATATTTGAGGTAAAAATGCCTTTGAAACTGCTATTTCAAGTAACACAATACAGTAAAATGACAAAGTAGCACTTGAATTGGTGTGAAGAAAGAACCACCTCTTCAATTCATTACATCACAACCTCTTTACTAACATTAGTCTATCCACATCTGTTTACAGCTGCTGAGATTCTGCCCTGTGAGTACAATTCATCAATTACACATCACCTAATATATTTACTACTTTTTCCAGTACACGATCACCCTTATGGTGTTTTTTTCTATGTATTGTTCAACCCAGCTTCAAAGCTCCCAAGTGTAAACTTTCCATCACTTATCCCAGGGAACAATTGGGGTTGAAGCAATAGGAAACACCTTCCTTCCATTTTTATTTTTCTTTTGTTGTATTGTTAAGTCCCTCTTGGACCACACAAGGCCATTTTTACCTGACCACTCAAACTCTGGTAGACCATTTTACATGCCCTTCCAGTATCACATGGCTGAGCCTACATTAAGTATTTTTTCATTTCTTCCATGTGTGTTTATTTTATTCTTGCTATGTCTGTATTATTTTGTTCATCCACACCTCTACATTGAGGAAATGCCACACAGAAAATTACAAACACAGGCAATCAGCATGCCATTTCCTTTCAAAAGGTTGAGTCATTCCCTTCCCAAACTCTATTTTTTTCTTTCATTTTTTTGTCAAAAAATGAAATGATGGGAAAGCAGAAGTTTACGGAATTGCTCTGTTGCAAGGATTTATTTCAGGTTTGGGTTCGGAATGTGTTTCAAACTGAGCCAGCCCTCTCTGAAATACATAGTCTTGCCATAAAAGTGTCAGGGACCCTTAAACGAATCACTGGTTACTAGGTTTTGATCCTAATGGATCAATTCCAGAACTGCAGCAGGTTTTATATTCCTCCCTAACTGTTCCAGAGCTCACTAAAAACATCTGCCTTGAATAAATCCACAGCAAAGAGAAATTTATCTGCTTACTTAATGCCCAGCAGCAGAAGGCTATAACCTTTATTTACAGCTTGGCCTATGCGAGTATTGCCAGTCCCAGCGAGGCTACAGCTTTTCTTTACCTGCTCAACAACACTAACAAGTGGAAAACTGACAGCAAACATCAAATAACCATTGTATTAGCACAAACAAGAGTTTTCAGTTTTTGTCTGGAGCCATCAACTGCTTCAAGTCTTCCTGGAAAAGACTGCCAAAGTACAACAGGCCTTCTGCTCCATGCATCAACACAGCAAGTGGAAAGAGTTCGGAGAGAACCTGTTGTCTGTGAAATTTCCACAGTTAAGATTCAGCTCTGTATCTAGGTCTGGGGGAATGATACTGAAAAGGAATGGTGCTAAGTTCCCAAAGAAAAGAAAAAAGGAGAAAAAATACATCAAAGCTATTGAAGCTGTACACTAAAGAATAGTATTGTTTTAAAATATGCTGCTACAAACTAGTCCCCATTGTCACAAATCTAAAGGCATTCAGTGACCACTAATGCCAAATATATTCAGTGACTCTTTTTCTTGTTTGAAAGCATAGGAAAGATTTTCTAAAACTTGGCCTATTCCTATGCTCCATAAAAGAGCTGTTTATATACCAATTCCAAAAAAGCATAGGTTTGCCTTCTTAAATCCATCACAGTTGCAGCAGTAGTTTAAGGCAATGAGATGCCCCCTTTTGGATCATGCTGTTAACTTCAATGTCATGTCCTGCCTTGTAGTAACTGTTGCTGGCTCCAGTGAGGTTAACAATGAACAAAAACCCACAGCACCCAGAGTCAGCCATAAGTGACAATAAACCGAAGTGTAAGTAACTGTGAAACCCTGATGGGGTATATACTATTACTCACTTTGACAGTAACACCTTAGGACTGTTGGAAATGATGTCAAACATTACATGATATATTCTAGCATTATGTTCATTATACTGGCTGAGGTGTTCAGTGCTTGACATTAAGGGCTAGATAAATGTCCCATGTTGCTGCTCAGGGTCACATCAACACACAAACAATGAGATCAGGAAGAAAACAGCTATCAAAAGGATGGCTTGGTTTGCAAAATACCCCCAAATTACATCATATATAGACAAGCACATCAAAAGTTGTACTAAGACTGGCAATGATACAACTGTCACGAAGCTGCTATTCAAAATAACTCCCCTCATAGACATGATTTCATATGCTGCAATATGAATTCCACTAATGACTAAAATTCCTCTCAAGAGACAATCATTCTCCCATGAAGTCAGAATTTTAAAACATCCAGATTCTGTCAGCACATAGTGTTCAGTTGTGCTGCTATATCTGTAGACTACTTTTGCCTTTAATTCCACAAAATCCAGAATTAAGACCTATGTATGTAAAGTACCGAATCACTGAATAAAAGAATCAGTTGTATTTGGTTCAATCCATCTACAGGAAATAGATTTTTAATTTACTTTTGAAAGACAGAAATATTGTCGATTCAACTTTTTATATTTCACATGAATTTAAAATGTAGCTTTCAACCCAGCTTGCATACCTTGCTGCTTTTTGAACCTGCTTTTTAAAATAAGCAGTTTTGCTGCTGCTGCAGCTAAGTGACACTGCTTTTTGACACCTGGTTCTCAGTGAAAAGAACTTGGTGTTATAACTGCTCACTTGTGTTCGAGATGGAAAAATACAGAATATACTTCTTAGAGAAAAAATATATGGAAGCTTTTGTTGTTTTAATTAACATGTGCACTGATAAAGGATTATGCAAAAATTGACTTTTCCACTTGTCTTGAGACTTTTAGAG